CTGTTTAAAAGAAGGAAATCTTCACACTTTTTCCTTTCTGCACTATATAAAGCCTTTACAGATGTGTAATTGTGTTTGCATGTCTGGCAAATAAAGCTGTTTGCAGTATATCCAGTCACCAGACAATGTCTGAACTGAAATTTTTCATATGTGGAGGATACATTTTTCTGGGGTGCTGTATTTCCAGCAGCTGAAGCTTCTTAAGAATAATGGAGCTGGGGCTTCATCCTTCATCCTGCTAATCCTCAGCTGCTGGTTTTGGCCCCTTTAGAAACACTAGCAGCTGACAACATTTATGTCAGATCTCTTGCACGTTCATGTTCACAGCTGTTGATCGCTGTAAAGTCGTGTTTTATTCAGCTGCTCGTGTTCCTATCTGCTGTTGCGAGTTAGAGGTTTGGAGCAATCCCAGTATTTGGTGGAAGGGAGGAACTGAGTCTTGGCTGGTGTAATCAGATAGCTCTGGTTATGTAAAATTTGTCCAGTTCCTAGAAAAGTATAGAAAACTTTTGCTATAGATATACAATATAAGAAATAACATTGAGATTATTTACTTGATATTCCAGTAATATGTATTAAAAGATTCTGATGTATGGGATATAAATTGCTGGTTATATATTTATATATATAACGTTATATAGCATTATATATTTAATTTTATAAAGATTGAATGAATTGGCAAAAGCAGCAGTTAATGCCCATTCCAAATTTTCAATTTCCTTTCCTTTCCCCTTCAGAAAACACTGATCTGAAAAGGTTCCTCTGCTGCCTTCTGTCTACAGGTTAATCATGAAGTGAGAAATTTGCCAGTTATTTGAGAAAAATAGTTTTAATTAAAATTAATGTGATCTTTCTTGTTTGTGTGCAGTATGTATGTTATGCATGCCGGAATTTACTCTGAGGAAGGAGAGAAGGCTCAAGAGTCGTAGACTGGGGTGACCTTTCTTTGCAGTAGCTGCAGCTGTCCTCTCTATGATGAGAAACATGATGAAGATATATTACTGACCTTGCATCTAAGCAGGTATAGAGAGGCTTATGGCCAGGATTCTCAAATTTGGGAGGTTAAAATTAGGTCCCTTAATCCACATTCAGGTGCCAAAGTAAGTGGCTCAATTTACCTTTCATTCCTATTAAGAGAAAGTAAAAAGCACATCTGAAAATCAAATTGTAGTACTTGAGTATCTAAAGACGTGTTTAGGTGCTTAGTGTTGGCCTCCAGAGTTTAAAGAATTTGGCTTTAATGTTTTAAGATATGAGTGCACTCTCAAATGACTCAGACTATGGTTTAATGATCCAGCATTAGCTACTTGTTGGAGTATGCTTAGGACAAAGATCCTCCCTCAAATCTGTTCTCACCTCTTAGTGTTCACAGACTGTTGTGTCTAGTTCCAATCAGTTTGCAGCCTCCTCTTGATGGCTGTGGCAAGTATATTTGTTAATGCAAAGACTGGTGTAGACAGGAAGTTCCAGCATGAAACATGTTTCATGCTGAAACGTGATGAATTTCTGAAATGGCTGTGGTAGGAGAGGACAGGGTGGTTGAGGCAAGGAATTGTTAGTTAGGCAGTCAAATCAAGCTCATGAGGAGACATCTGCATTTTCATTGCAGGGCAAGTTTTCATTTCAGCTATGCAGACCTGCTGGCAAGGTGCCGGTGAAAGGAGCACTCCTGCTCACTCCTTGTCCCTGGTAATGCTCTGCACTTGTGATAATATCTGACAAGCTAGTTGAAGAAGAAAAACCATCAGAGAACTAATCAGGAAAGAAAACGGTTATTTTCGTACATTAGCTTACTCAGGGAAGAAATGAGAGGAAGCAAAAACGGTCATTTTGGTTGACTTAGCTGGAATGTGAAACCTCACCTGGAGGCATGGCCAGCTTATCTCCTAGAGAGCAGGAAAAGAGAACAAATTACAGGGGAGAGGTCTGTCTGGGCCATTTGGAAGACTTAAAAGAGGAAATAAATTTTAATAGCTAATGTACTCTACTGAAGGGGGGATGCTTTCTGAAGAAGGTGTTCTGTAATGAAGAGGTTTTCTGTAATGAATATCACATAACACATAAAGGGGTGGATTAAGAAGGAGATCCAGAAAGTTGCTGTTAGGTAAGGAGTGAGCTGACTTGTTCAAGGAGCAATTTAATGTAAGTAGGTTTAAAGTGCAGGCTTTCTGTCATTTCTAATATCTTTTAGAAATATTTGTAATATGTCATGTATTTTATGTTGCATTTATTTGCATTTCATCCCAACTGACATGAAGTTTGGTATAATTTTAAAGGTACCAGGTATTAAAAAGCCGTTGCTCACCCAATTTTTGGGTAGTCTATGAAGTGGGTGACTTAGCAAGTACCTTACCTACCCTTTCGATTGTGTGAAGAACATGCTAACAGAGCTGCAGAGGTTGCATGGAGGGTTTTGTGGTAACTGTCAGGCACTTGGGCATACAGCAGGGTACTACAGTAGATGTTTCCATGAGGAAGTGTCTTAGCAAGTTTTAAGATTCCTAATGCAGCAGCCCCATCTCACAAAGTATTAATCCGCTTGTTTAATTTCATTTACGAAATTTTGACATGTTAACTTTGTATTGGCAGATTTTTCTGCAAATACTGAGTATTTCAGGCTCTGGCTGCCTGTGTCTGGCTCAGGGCAGGTCTACTGCTGCGTGACCTGGTAGTGTACAAATCTGGTATCAGTTATGAAACAGAGATTTTTGTGGATATGTCCTGTCCTGAGCATGGTAGTCATGCTCATAGATAAAAACTAGGGGGGGTGGGGGTAGGGAGAGGGGGAGTCAGGGGAAAGATTGTGAGACCTTGTCATTCAAGAAATGCAAAATTTGTAACAGTGAGAGTCTGGAAAGAAAGTATCACCAACTTCACTGAAATGTAGTTGTGCCTACTGCTAGTTGAATGGTACGTAGCCAATGGCATAAGAATATTCTTTTCCTATCTAGTCAAACAGAGGAAAAGTAGGTTTCAGCAACAACGTTAATAATTTCAGTACGTGAATGGTATCTACAGTTCTTAGGACTAATAATGTAAAAAAAAAAGTCAGTGATATTTTCAAGAAAAAATGTGAAAAGGTTTCTGATCATAGAATCATAGAATGTTTTGGGTTGGAAGAGACCTTAAAGATCATCTTATTCCCCCCCTTCCATGGGCAGGGCCACCTCCCGCTAGACCAGCTTCCTCAAATCTCCATTCAGCCTGGCCTTGATCTCAAATGATGTCAAAATGAGATACTTTCCAGAATTTTGATCAACTGTAGTTGAGTTACTATTAAAACTGTAGCTTAGAATTGTGGTCCAAAATGCATCTAAGCTATGTATTTTCCTGTATTGTAGATGTCTTTGTGATCGGGATTTTTGCTTTTCAATTTTTGTCTTTTATCATATTGGTACAGAACAGTGATGCATTTCTTCCTTATAGCGTAGTTTAGGTCATGCTGTATTTTCCTCGTCTGGAAATGACTATAATGGGCCTTTTGTTTAGTTTATTTTTAATATGTGTCCCATCTCTTAATAGAAAACTTTAATAGAGCTTGCTGAGACCCTTTTACTTCACATTGAAAACCACTATATGTCTAGTGCAATTAGCACTGGATATGTACTGCTTTTCTGATTACTTGTTTTTATGTAATAATACATTTTCTTTCATACCACATTATTTTAAATTCTTCAAACCTTAGTCTTTACTGCACTAAAACTAGAATGAATCCTTGATAACATCAGTTTGCTAAGTTTTATGGATCTTTTGCTGAAATCAAAGAATGGGCTAATTTGAATTGTAAGTAGGACTTTGACATGAGTTTCCTGAGTTTCTTGTTGGGCAAGTCAAGTGACGTTTTATTGGTTTTACCTGCTATATCCTTATCTATATGTTGCATTTGGATTAGTCATTAGTAAAGAATGGAGCGATGCTTAACACCGCAAATCGAGGAGTACTAAGTGTTGCGTCTGATGCTGTGCATTGTCTGTTCCTTTTGCACATACATGACATCTGATGATCTTAATGAGTGTTGGACATGGGGCAAATTTAAAACTGTTTTAGCATCACTTCTTTTGAGCTCTGTGCCTGAATCTCCTGCCTTTCACTCCTGCAACTGACAACTTAACAGCAGTCGCTGCAGTGTTGATGGAGCTGCAAAACAGCTAGGCTTTTCTTGCAGACTTAGTGCTGTTAGTGTTAGCCTGTTAGTGGAAAAAGGGTATTAAATTTTGAGTGGAGAGAGTTTGGGCAAGAGTGTGGTAATAAGAAACAAGCATACCAGTAAGGCTAGGAAAGACTCCTCTGTAAGGGGGAGATAGAAATGTAAAGGAGAGAGAGAAAAGAGAGTGTAGTATGAAGAGTGGAGAGACGATTGGAAGAAAAATGAGACATGAGGAGAGGGAGTTCTTAAAGAGGTGAAGCATTTTCATTCCATTTCTATGATATCTAGTCCTCATACTGTACATCAGCCTTCCTTTCCTTTTAGCCTGTCTACCGTTAATGTGAATTTATCATGATAGTCTATTGTATCTCATGCTCTATTAAAAATTCCCAGCCTCACCCATCATCTCATCACTTCCTCCTCATTCATCGCAAAGAAATAAAGGTGTTTGGTTGTTGTTGTTGTTACTGTTGTTGCTGTTTTTGCTATTATTAGACACCAAATAGTACCAATTCACATATGTACTAGATACTCATTTGTATCAGAAGTCTGGTTGCCAATAGAAAATGAGCTCTTCTGTTTTCTGTTTTGCATTACACCATTATTAGTGGTGGCTGCATCAGACAAAGTTAAGCAGATCTGGTGTACTGCAGTTTGTAAAAGATGTTGCCCTGCTCTGGCGCTTTTCAAAAGGCTTTTCCAGTTTTTGCTAGTTGTTTATGGTGCGGTTTCAATATGCAAAATGATTGCAGAATCTTCTTTCCAACCTCTATTAGATAGTATTGGTAGACAGAGTTTTGCCAACAGGAAGGCAGAAATTTAGGATCGCTATTTTCATCTCCTTTATTTTCAGGTATCCAACTGCCAAAGGAAGATGAGATTTCAGTACCTGTGACTTCAAGCTCTCCGGTTAAGGACACTGGGGAGAATGTTGATCTTGCAGTTGAACAGGAAGAGAAGATGAAAGAGGAACCTTTAACCATCTCAGAACTGGTATACAGCCCAAGTGCCAGTTTGCTTCCCACCCCTGTTGATGATGAGATTGACATGCTCTTTGATACCTGCCCGAGAGTAGAGAATGAGAAAGATGATACAGATTCGTTTGAAGAACTGGAAGCAGATGAAAATGCATTTTTGATTGCAGAGGAGGAAGAACTGAAAGAAGCTCGGAGAGCGCTTAGGTGGAGCTACGATGTTCTAATGGGCAACATAGAGGTGAATGCCTTTGTGAAGAGTTTCTCCAGACTTCTCCTTGTAGGCCTTGGACTGTTGTTGTTTGTGTTCCCTCTTCTCCTTGTTCTCTTGGAGTCGGACCTTCAAATCTCTTTCCTCCATGAGATCCGTCAAACGCCGGAGTTTCAGCAGTTTCATATTGAATATTACTGCCCCCTTAGGCAGTGGGTGGCTTGCAAAATAAACTTCATTCGTAACATGCTGGGAAGCTTTTAAATTTTAAATAAATATGATACAACTAAGGGCTATATTCAAAATTTCAGTTAGGGCCAGCTTTCCATAATGCCCCTGGGGCCATCAGTTGGTAACTGTTTTCATATCCAGTTCATTACAGACTCTGCAGGATCTTAAGTTCCCTTTACATACTTAAATTGCCCCTTTAGTTACAGACTTACACAGTTACCTTTCAGTAACCAAAAAAAAGCTTTACTTTAATTGCATTTCAGAATTCCAGCTCATCTATTACATCATATAAGGCAGGGTCACAATAAGTTTCATTGTCCTTAACCTTTCAATCCAGGACACTAAATCCAATGAAACTGAAAGAAAAACTTTTTTGAATATACTCCTTAGTGCAGCAGTCTCTCCTAACCAATGCCTATACAAGCAATGTTAATGCTGAGGTTTTGTTTTTGTTCTGTTTTCCTGTTTGTTTGGTTTTTTACATTTTTATGTGTTTAAAATATTTTGGTAAATTTTTAGCAAAAGACAACTTCTGATGTTATTTAAATGTACAAATTGGTAAGAATAATGCACAAGGGCATGTAGGGTGTTTTTAGTGTTTTAGCAATGATTTGTTTTTAAACTGCTGGCTGGAGAATGAATGAGTTTAATACAGCTCTATACAAAGGGACTGTGGTTTGGGAAATATATAGAAAGTTCACTCAAGTTCAGTAGGGGCTGCCTGGGGGAGGTGAAAGGACACCAAGTATGCAGAGGAATTTCTGAAAGGCACAGTTGTAAAGCCTGGGGAAGTAAGCAGAACTGAACGTAGTGACCCTTCCTCTTACCTGTCAGGTTGTCTTACGCTTTATCAGTGCTGTAGAAAGTCTCTACAAGATGGTCCAAGTATGTTTTGGAAGACAGGGAATCTTCAGTCTAAATGTAGATTATTGTACATAACATGGAAGAAAATAATAGTAAGTAGCAAAAAAAAAAAAAAAACCAAAAAAAAGCGCCAAAACCCTAGTTAAATCAGTAGGTGAGTGACCTACTTTTAAAAATGATAGAGAAGAAAAATGTATTCCTTTTTAAAAGCAAAGCATTAGGCTGTACAGCTGACATAAAGGTATTCTACCAACTCACAGTTAAAGGCTTAAAAACTTTAAGAGGTGCATCTTCATCCTTGATGCCCGTTATTACTAATCTCTAAGACAACATATTTTCTGTGCATACTAATATGCTTCCTTTCACATATAGCAGCATACTTACCCTCTTTCCCTATTACTACAAGCGCAGTTACATGATCTAATGTTTTTCAGAATTTTTACTGCTAATAAAATGCTGTTCAGCTCGTTCCCTCTCAGTCGGCAAGCTGATAATTCCTTTGTCTGATATGTTATTTCTCTGATTTTAGCGTTAAAAGTAGCTTTACATTTTTAACGCTCTGCGTAGATGATAGTTCTGAAAGTGCTCTTCAGACACCAGGACTCAAAAAAAAAAAAAAAAAAAAAAGCCAAAAAAAAGCGCCAAAACCCTAGTTAAATCAGTAGGTGAGTGACCTACTTTTAAAAATGATAGAGAAGAAAAATGTATTCCTTTTTAAAAGCAAAGCATTAGGCTGTACAGCTGACATAAAGGTATTCTACCAACTCACAGTTAAAGGCTTAAAAACTTTAAGAGGTGCATCTTCATCCTTGATGCCCGTTATTACTAATCTCTAAGACAACATATTTTCTGTGCATACTAATATGCTTCCTTTCACATATAGCAGCATACTTACCCTCTTTCCCTATTACTACAAGCGCAGTTACATGATCTAATGCTGTGTAACATGGATTTGTGTATCTAAAGGTATTCCAATGTAGCTTAGAGAATATACTTAAGTAACATCTTATCAATGCTGAGAACCTTTGAAGGCCCTCAAATGTACCGCAGAGGTTGTATTTAAGAGGAGAAGGTATTTCCCCCCTCAGTGCAGATGTATTTCTTATTTGAACTAGGGAACTCGATTTTGTCCTCCAAGTCTTTCTCCTGCTTAGAGATTTATGAATTGGAGACATATTTGAGGCTATTTTATTAGATGTGCATTTAACATACTGTAAACACGTCTCTAATTCCTACTGAATAAATTCCTTTAGTTTCGGTATCAGAGAATCTGTTTTGCTTGGCTTTGTCATGTAAACCTTTGCAAATGTCTTGTTTGAAAATGGCAATTTACTTAGAGTATTTCTCCTCCTTCTAATCTTCTCCGGTTTCTAAAGGACAAAACAGTTACAGGGCTTAGGAGTTCCTTTTTTCCAGTTGAAAACTTTTGGGTTGCTATTAATTTCCCAACCAACTAAGGCTAAATTAAACAACGGCCTTTTTTCTCTCATCTTTGTTTGCCTTTGCCAGTCTGTTCCCCAGGAGAGTCATTATTGATTAGTTACATGATGTGTATTTCTTCTTGTGCTACTTGCAGCTAAATGATCCTTTCCCATAAGGTATCAACCATTAAGCCTAGTAGAAGTGGAGAGTGAACTAAAGTAGACATTTGGCCTTAACGGGAAATTACTCACTTGCATTATTTCTAAACAAAGGTGTCAGAAAAGGTGTTTCAGCATTGAAGGCTGTGAGAGCTGGCATCCTGCTGGACTATGGAGACATGGTTCTGTACAGGCTCTTATGTAAGTGAAATAATTATTTAAAAGAAAAAAAAAGTTAGACCCTATGATCAAAACTTTAGTCTTGTCCCTGTAAATTACAGCACTCCAGAAGCAGGAGTATTGTTGTGCTTGATTTAACTCTGTCAGAAAATAGCTGAGTTGCATGAGAGTGTAATCTCAGAAAATGTGCAGTGCAGTGAGGTTTTATGTAGGGTTAAATGCAAGTGTGTGCATGCACATGTGACTGCCTTTACTAACCATGTGCATACGTTCAGGCCTGGCCTTTTAAAATTCTTCCCTCCTGATGTTCTCTGGTCTACCGAACTAATTTAACTGAAAGTCATGAGAGTCCTATAACCACATAATACACACAGAAGTATATGGGGATATTCAGAGAGAGTAGCAGTCTAGTATTTTATTAGTGAGGATGACAGACTTGAATTACGGAGCATCTATAGGTACAGTATTGTGTATTTCTGTCTGTGCTTGGATTATATTGTAATATGTTATGTACTTGAAATCTATTTTGTGGTTTGTCTAACATTTATAAACACAACTCTGGGAAGACTTAAAAATGGTTTTATTTCATGGAGACTAAGGGGAAAATATACCTGTAACTTGAGCCTTATCTTTGTACAGTGAATTTCACATTTCTATATGTCAACATCCTGATTGTTTTGTATGTTGATATGATGGCAGGAATCCCTAATAAAAATACACTAGAGAAAAATTTCTGCAGTTATGACTCTTCTTGTGGTGAAAGATGTTTTGTAAATGATTGTTTTTGTTGGGAATTAGCACATGATACAGTACAGATTTCTTAGGACTCTCACAGGTTTTTTTTCACATACTTTATTCATCAGCTGGAGAGACACTGTCAAAGCGCTTTAAAATAAGATGTTATTAACATGGCTTCAGAAGCACTAAGCAAGGGCCTAATGGTTTGCCCAGTTACCACATAAGAATTAGTCACAGTCTTGAATTTGTCCCGAAATAAAATTCCTACACACAGAATACAAATTGAGAAGTCTGGTTTTCAAGTCAGACCCTGGCTGTAGACATATGGCTGCAGCTTTTGGAGGGCAGATCTGGCTAGAGTGTCATGCAAGCAAAGCTGTGCGGCTTTTGGATGGAGCTTGCTTACATTGAGTTGGTTTGGAGCTCAGACAGTGCAAAAGCACCAGGTAAGAAATATAGAGTCTGCAAAGGTAAGTTGAACATAGTTTTAGGGAGCTGAGTCAGAGAAACCAAAGCTACTTCCTGAGCACATTTAGACGTAGACATATCTGTAATGAATAGGAAGTGCCGAAATCTAGATGGACTGGCAATTTGAAATGTAAAGGGCCAGGACTGTATAATACAGGTATACCTATTTATTTTGTTAAAACGGCATAGGTTATAATGGTGCTTTCAAAAGGGGGGTTACATTCCTGCTTTAACATTAGAATATGACATATCCTCTTCAACATTGTTCATATTCCAAGTACTTAACCACAGCTTATGAAAACAGTGTGTGTACTTTGAGTAGAAGTTCAGCATTTGTTATAAATTCATTCTGAATAATGACACACAAAATTTCTCTAACATTACTACTCACTGAAATGTCATGCCAGATGTGCATTTGAAGAAATCATTGATGCTAATGCTGCCACTGTTAGAACTTGACAACAGCCATGTTGGCCAAACTGGACGGAGACCACAAGCACTGGAATGCAAGAAATTTCATCTGAAAGTCAAGGTCCATTTCTCAACTTTTTGTTTTGTTTTGTTGGGTTTTGTTTTTGTTTAAATCCTAAAGGAAGTAATTGTCTCTTCTGGTTGTATGGTTTTGCTGTAGGTTTTCCTACAGCTGGGTTTTATGGGGGAGGAGGTCTCTCGGACACCTTGTGAAGATTTCTACTGGCTGTTAAATGCCCTGCTCGAAGATTTTGATCCCATAGTCTTACGTCTTTCATTCTGCCCCTCTACACAGGTGATCCTTCCTCAGCCTTATCCTCAGAAATTAGCAGGAGGAGCTGCTCTGACATTTTGAAACTGTGTAGCGTGCCGTTGCTTTCTTTTAAGGCAGGTTATTGTTGTTCACCTCAGGCAGACGAACTCCCTGCAGCAATTCCATCTTATTCTACTACAGAGGTTCACAGCTTTCCCTCTGTCTTGTAGCTCCCTCCTAGGAAACATGGGCACTATCTGTTCCCTGTGAAGTGATGCGTAATGACGTAAGGGGGATTTAAACCTGTGGTGTAAGCTTTATTAGGAAAGTTTCCCTGCTATAACCAACCACAGCCCAGTGCTTCTGCGTTACAATGAAGAGCAATGAGGCGTTAATTTCTACTTGATAATCATGTAGTGGAGTGCAAACATGCTTACAAAAATAAAAATGAGCATGAAAAATTACCTTCTCTGTATATTCCGTTTGGACTTTTCCATGTTAGCTCGCTTTTAATTTCAATGCAGATGTGTTTGCTGAGCTCGTAAAATGGCAGATACTTCAGAGAAGCGAAGTGAGCCCTAGAATCTTCATCGGAGTCCTGATGAGGAAATGCCACCTATGAATTGCTAGTTACAAATGATAATGAGAACATAATTGGTTTAAATAGACTAGAAATTGAGGTGATATAGGTTACATTTCTTTGATTGAAGAATAATTAACTATATTGTTTGAATAGGGCATGTATAGTAACGCATGTAGAAAAAGATGTTGATAGAAGAACACGGAAAGCCTCTCTTTTGCAGTCCTATGCATGTTATTTAGAATCTGTAATAAAAAGATCTACTAAATATAATGTCTTCTGAAAAGTCTGATTTTAAATCCACTTCAAAATATTTTCTGATTTTCAGTATTATGCACAGGAATAATTTCCTAAAGAGAAGTTTTGAGAGGGCTGCAGGTGAACTTCTAGTACAATGAATCTGGCAATAAAAACCGAAATTTCACCTATGAAACCATATTTCACAATATGTCCACTACTTTTCAGAATTCTCTTCCCACAGATGGAGGTGGGTGGACACAATGAGAGACACTTTAGGTATGGGGGAAAAGAACTTTTGCAAAGCCAAATCCAAAAAGCATCTGAACGCAAAGTCTGCTAAGATCTTGTTCTTGGGGTCTCAGTCAACAGCAGTGATCCTCACTCAGTAGGTATATTGCCACTGGAATGCCAAACTCAGTAGCACAGCATCTCATGATCTGCTCATGACAACTACCATTCTTTTGCTGGTTTTGCCAATCTGATGGCATGTGCCATTTCAGTCAGAATCCTGGTATGTCCACTGGGAATTCTATTAAGGCCAGAAGAGCTGAGTTGTATTTTCTTTGGATGGCCCACCAAAGATATGACCAACTCCATTACCTTTGAGACCATTGAGA